CCCCAAAACCCCAAAACCCCAAAACCCCTTTTATATTTTTGAATATTGAAACTACTTTCACCTTTTGAGTTTCTTCTGAGGAGTCTTTTTGAGAAGAAATTTTTGGTTACTCTCTTTTGTCTTCAAAATATTCGTCCATTTTTGCTTCAGTTCAGTGTACCTTTGGGCATAGGTTTGAGCTTCAGGGTTCTTTGGTCTTTGGGAAGGACTAGAAGGTTAATTGAGAAATACTTTTCCCTATTCTTTGCTTCTTTGAGTTCCTCAACTTTTCTTCGAAATTTGGAGAAATCAGTCTCATACACTTTAAGTTGGGAGTAATCTGGCCGATAAGTACGAAATATCAAGTTCTTCTGAATTTTCCAGTCAATGAAATTATCCACACTAATTTTATCACCAGATCCTAGCTTAGAAACCAAATTTTTATTGCTTCTTTTTGGTTTTGAATCCTTTTGATTTTTCTTAGACTCCTTCTGAATATTCACATCAAAGTTCCTCGACCGAAGTCCAATGGATTTACTATGAAAGGAATTTCTCAATGAAGACAGAGTATTAGTTTGCTCTCTAAACTTCATTGACTCTTGGCTCTTCATATTCCTGCTGAAGTCAGCACTTTGGCTATTAATTAGGTAATTAGAATACTTGGCCATAAATATTGAGCTTGCTTCGTACAAAGACTCATTATTTCCATCCTGGCTGACAATTGAGGCATTGCTATCATCAATAGTAATTTTTCTAAATTCTGGTTTCACTTTTAACGAATCTATTTTGAAGAAAATGACTTACAATCTGGAGTATTCCGGGATCTAGAGTAAAGTTTTATGCTGATAAAAGACATTTCTACAGTAAAATCGTTTATCCTCATCTTATCAAAGCAAGTTTTACTCAAGATGCCAAAGAAAACATTTTGTGTAATTTTTTATAATTTGATGCTTTGCAATTTACTCAAGCTAAGCTATTTTATTGACCTTAAATCTCATCAAAAAAGTAAAGATATAACTTTAATAGGAATGAATAGATCTCTCTTCCTATTTAAAGGATTTTACCTTTTTGGAATACTTGTCATTGTTTTTAACAGAGCATCAGAATGTTTTTCAATAGTTCAATTATTTATTGTCTTTCTTTCCACAATACTCCGACTCTTTGGTCTAATCCGTGCCATGTCAGCACTCATATTATGCCTCATTTTAATTATTTTTAACTGCTTGTTAGCTTCTTCTTTACTCAAGACTTTGAATTCTCTGAACTCTTTCCTACCTTATAAGGCATTTAGATAACCTTTATTACCTTTCGATGGTTTAAAATATGCTTTGATTTGCTCTTTGTTCACATTGATGCCTTTCTTCTTGTTCTGTATAGCTTTGAGCCTTCAACTGCTCTTGTAAAATACAATATGGTTCTTATTTAAGCCCTCTTTTAAGCCTAAAACTAGCTGGGATTCCTTACCTTTTCTTAATTTGCTGGATGTTCCAGAATCCTTTGACTATATCATTCTAGACCTTGTGAGACGAACCTACCTTAGTCGTGTTTAACAGGGAGAAGTCGAACAATTTCCTGCTTGAAGAAAAACTCATTACTAATTTCAATAGAATGTTATAGATTGGGGTTTTGGGGTTTTGGGGTTTTGGGGTTTTGGGG